TCCTTATTGATTTTCTGTATGAATGACCTATCCATTGATGGCAGTAGGGTATTAAAATCCCTTACTATTACTAATGTATTGCTCTCTATTTCTTCCTTTAGATCAGTTAATATTTGCTTTATATATTTAGGTGCTTCTATGTTGGATGTGTAAATATTTACAAATGTTATATTCTCTTGATGGATTGACCCCTTTATCATTACATGACCTTCTTTGTATCATTATAGTTTTTGTTTTAAAATCTATTTGACCTGCTATAACTATAGCTGCCCCAGTTTTCTTTTGATTTCCATTTGCATGCAATATCTTTCCATCCTTCACTTTCAATCTGTGTGTGTCCTTATATCTGAAATGAGTCTCTTGGCAGCATATAGATGGACTTTTTAATCATTTCAGACACTCTGTCTTTTAACTGGAAAATTTAGTCCAATTACTTTACATGTAGTCCAATTACTTTACATAGGTATGGACTTACTGCCATTTTGTTCATTGTTTCTGTCTGTTTTGTAGTTCAGTTCCTCTGCTCCTTCCGTCTTCTCTTGCTCTTTCTCTCTTCCTTTGAGATTTGATGCTTTTCTGTAGTTGTGTGCCTGAATTCCTTTCTCTTTTTTGTGTGTATATCTGCTATAGAATTTTGCTTCGTGGGTACCATGAGGCTTACATAAAACAACTTAGTCTGTTTTGAGCTGATAACAACTTCAGTTTGAACACATTCTAAAGCTCTCCTTTTTTTTACTCACCCCTATAAAACGTTTTGTTTCTTGTGCCACCATTTACATCTTTTCATCTTATGTATCCATTAATAAATTATTATAGTTTTTGTATCAACTGTACTTCAATTTTGAAAAATCTTATGTTGGTTTCAAGTATACAACATAGTAGTTCAATAGCTACCCATATTATTAAATCCTCACCCCTACTAGTGCAGCTGCTGTCTGTCAACACAGGAAGATGTTACAGAATCAATGGCTATAGTCTCCATGTTGTAAGAAGTTCATTATTTATTCCTTTTGCCTTTTAACCTTCATACTAGCTTTATGTGTTTAACCTACCACCCTTACAACATTAGGTTATTCTGAATTTTAGTTTCAAATTGGGAGGCATGGCACCCCTAAGTTTGTTCTTCCATCTCAAGAATGTGAGGCTCTTCATCAGTGAGATTTATACTGTCATGTATTTCTGTGTTAATAATTAGCACCTTTCATTTCAGTATAGTGAAGTTATTTTCAACATTTCTTGTAAGGCCAGTGTTGTGATGAATTCCTTTGGCTTTTGCTTTTCTGTAAAACTCTTTCTCTCTCCTTCCATTCTAAAGGACAACTTGCTGAGTAGCTATGCTTCTTTGGCACTGTTTTTCTTTCAGTATACCGAATACATTGTGCCTTTCTGGCCTGCAAAATTTCTGCTGAAAATCTGGTGATAATCTTATCATGACAGTCTTGTATATAACAAGTTGTTTTTCTCTTGCTGCTTTTAGGATTCTCTACTTTAATTTTTGACCATGTAATGTAATGTGTCTTGATCTGGTTTCCTTTGAGTTCACCTTGTAGCGAACTCTCTGGCTTTCTGCATATGAATGTCCTTTTCCCTCCCCAGGCTTGGGAAATTTTTAGCCATTATTTCTTCAAACAAGTTTCTGCTTTTCTTCAAGTTTCTCTTATTCTTTTCCTTCTGGGACCTCTATACTGTGAATGTTCATACACTTGATGATGATCTATAACTCTCCTTAGCTCTCTCCACTTTTTCATTCCTTTTACTTTTTCCTACTCTGCCTGGATGAATTCCACTCCCCTGACTTGAAGTTCACTGATTCTTACTTCTGATTCTTCTAGCCTTCTTTTGAAGCCCTCTTTTGTATTTTTCAGTTCAATTACTGTATTCTTCAGTTCTATAACTTCAGTTCGGTACTTTCTTATATTTTCTGTCTTTTGAAATTCTCACTTTGTTCATCCATTCTTCTTTCAAGCTCGGTTAAGTACCTTTATACCTATTATTTTGAACTCTTTATCAGGTAAATCACTGATCTCCATTTCATTAAGTCTTTTTCTGAGGTATTACCTTGTTCTTATATTTGGGATATATTCCTCTGTTTCATCATTTTCCTTGACTCTCTCTGTTGGTTTCTATATATTAGATAAGACAGCCACCTCTCACAGTCTTGAAGGAGTAGGCTCGTGTAGGAGGTATGCCTTGTCTGCCAACCCTGCCCATCTCGTTTGTCTTAAGATCTTTGTGATTATCCAAGCACTTCATTCTAGTACATCCAGAAATTAAGGGTATGCCAAGAACTGTCATTGTCCCAAAGTGCAGCATCTCAGTGAGCACCTACATTTAAGCTAAGTGGAAGCCAACCTTCAGGCAGCAGCTTTTAAACTATGCAAATACACCTCTTTCAGGGGGAAGACTGTGGGATAGGCATGTCTGCTCCTTCTGCACTGAGCTCTGGGTAATAAGCTCTTAAGCTCAGTTAAGAACTGTTTCTTTCTTTGCCACCATCCTGTTGAACCCATGAACACAAGCCCCACTGGCCACCAGAGCCTGGCTATCAAGGAATGTGTCCTCTGGGCAGCACCCCCAAAAGACTGGGCACCAGATATATATCCAGGTTCCTTTCTCAGAGACACCAGTGACCTGAGGTGGGGCAAAGAGAACACATAGATAATGCTGCCAACCTCCCTGGTTCCTGGAGGAGATTGTCACCAGCCTCTAGATGTGTATTGAATTAGAAACCTGTCCCTTATGCCACAGCTATAAAAATAAGCTAGTAGGCCTCTTTCAAAGAAAAACTAGGGGTGTGTTTCAGTCTCTTTTGTCTCTACATTGTACCATGGGATTGAGGTTAGCCAGTTAAGAACTGTCTCTGTTGTTATAGTCCTATGGGACCCACTAACATAGGCCCCACTGTCCACCAGAGCCAGGCAATCACACTCTGCCCTGTACTTTGATTGCATCTTGTGCTTAGGCTCTTGAGCCATTGTCTTGAACAATGATCATGTGTATGGCATTTGTCGAATGTGTATGTCCCCTACCTTACTATAAGCTCCTTTAAAGAAAAAGGTGCTGCATTCGTATTTATATTCCAAGCTTGTAGTATAATACCTGCTACATAGAAGGCACTAAATAAATGTATGTAAAGTTGTGGAATGAGTCAATGAACCCTCACCATGATAAAGTTGAGAAGTAATTATCTCTTTTCAACTCCTGTTGCATGTCCCTCAGTGAGTAAATTATAAAACAACTTGAGTGAGTGACACTGAACTACACCACCTCAAAATAACCCTTATATTTAAACTCTTATGCAGGACTTGAGTATTGTAATTCTGTCTCTTCTCAGAGTTATTTTCTTTCTGATCTTAATATATTGCTTGGGGAGGAATTGTTTTATTTTATTTTTCTAATTATTTTGATAGTTGAGTTGAACTGATGCAGGAAGGAAGGAAGACTACATAGTTGTCAGCTTTGAAGCCTCTAGTCATTGTCTTTTCATGTTTTTTATCAGCTGTGCCTGTATAGGTATGATTTCAAAGTAGAAAGACATTTTATATTCTCTGTTGGGACCTTCACTGGTTAAGCCATATATATTGCCTATGTCTTATTTAATTTTTTTATAAGCCTACTTTGTAACACCAAATTCTATTTATTTTCACTATATGTATTTTTTCCTACCTGCTTGCATTTATAATTCCCCAATATAATCTCCCTTGAGTCTTTGTGTACATTAATATAAAAATGTACTAACTTCACCTTTTACATTTTCTTTATACTTTTTGCTTATTTCAACTTACTATGGATTCTATTCTGATAATTGTTATTTTTTCCAACTTAAGAGTATTCTATGGCATTAACTGCTTGCTGGTTCATGAAGTCCACAGGGACTTCATTTATTACAAATAATTTCATGGACAAGGTCAGACATCTCCATCAAAACTATCAGAAAGTCAACATCATAACCAAGAATTAGAGTGTTATTTTGAAGTACATGTTTAAAGAGTACCTGCTTTCTTACTTATCTTCTAAAACATCCCTTCCAAAAAGGACCTTTATATAAGATTTTGCCATTTTTAAGGAATGCATAATCAAGAATGCATTTGCTTTTTGTCAAAAACATATCATTCTTAAGCCCATATGTACACAGACTGTATTTTGACAGCCATAACCTAGAATTGGTTTATTGCTCATCTGTGTTCTTTCTTCTTGAAAGAAGCTTGCACATTTAATAATAAATCATTCAGTGGTACTTCCTATTTGTTATTAATATCAATGCCAACAAATAATTCCATCTGATATATTACATAAATTGAGGAAGGTTTCATCAAACATGCTGAAATTTATCACACTGATCTCAAATGGCTTATATGTTGATTATACTTATCATTCAATTTAATTTGATAAATACTTATGACACATTAAAGAGAGGCAATAATAAACTACAGTTCTATGCTCTTAATTGTAACATCCAAATGTATGATTTATTCCCACCAACTGAAAATGTGATCAGCATCCCTTTTACTCTACCCAGATTGTTGAAAAAAATTAAATCATAACAGGAATAGTTACATGGAAGGTGCTACCAGAGATACTTTTGTGTTTTGTAGCATTACTATTTCTTATCATTGAAGAGAGCTTACCTTCCTTAAATGTTTCCCAGAAGAAACAACAAAACAGTTTAATTTTTTTCTAAAATTACTATCCCAATAAGAGCTATAATAATATGGTATCGAGAACAAATTTTCATTGAAACAGTCTTCTCTGTAGATCCACATTCATTTTATCCTGTTTTTGAAGGAAAGAACACTTCTTCAAGAAGAATGGTAACCATCCAGATTTTTTTCTCTTTCAATGAATGAGTGTACTGACACTTCAGTCTCTTTGAAAACCTTCCAGTTTTCATTTATAGCTGTCATTTTGTTTTACTCATTAATGGAGTAAATAACATTTGATGTTGTTTTATGATTATCTAAATGTAAATGTGGATTTATTTCAATATTTTCACTTTTCAGAATATTTTTCTCAGCACTTGGGTGAATACGAGAATGTACTAGCAGCACTTGAAGACCTAAATCTTTCCATCCTGAAGGCAATGGGCAAAACAAAAAAAGTAAGGAAACACTGATATTTATTTTCTATAAAATCTCTTCTTTGAAAAAAATTTTTCTTGAAAATCAGACATATTTCCTGGTGAATCATCAAAGTATACATTTATTTTTATCACTGATCATTAATTTTTCCTTCCTAAATGAGCTATTGCATTCATTCATAACACAATTACAAATGCCTACTAGATGCCAGGCACTATGCTTTAGGCTTGAAAACACAAAGAAAAGAAAAGCTGCTTGTGTTCAAGCAGCTCTTAGACTGGTGGGCAGACAAGTGTGTAAATAATCACAATATAGCCCAAGAGAGAAACACATGTTGCCACCTAACTCATATGGGAGGAGATTACACCTGAGCAATTAGAGATAAAGTAGTGATGCCTAGGGAAAAGAGTACCGTTACCAGTGAACTTTAAAGAACTGCAGCTTTTAGTGGTGGGAAAGGAGAAGGAGCCAGCAAGAGGGGCTGAGAAGGATAGAAGGAAAGCTGGAAGAGGGTGGTGTCCAGAAGCTGAAAGAGTATTTCGTGAGTATGGAGTGGTCAATACTGTTGACTTCTATAGAGAGGTCAAGAGAGATGAGAATTAAAATTTCCACTGTCAAAAAAGTAAATCAAAAACAACATTTTGTGCTAGTGAAGACAATTAACCATAGAAAATAAAGGGATAAATTCATATCTGCTTGTAGAAGGTATAAATATATATCTGAGGAGCCCAAAGAATTCAAAATTGTATTGAAACATAAAACAATAAATGAATATATTAGAATAAAACATTAACATACAGTGCATGAGTCTTCATATACACAGATTCTATTCAGTTACAATATATTACGGGAGACTGAAATTGTTAAACATATAATGATAGAAATAAATGTAACAAGGAATAAAAAATAAAAAATAAACATTTTAGTATATAAGGCACATGACAAGAAAAAAAATTTTTTAGCAAATATGGAATTTCTAGATAAAGATAGCAGATATATACGTCCATTGAACTCTGCTTGCTTCTGAACTTGCTTTTAGTGGGAAAATTTATAGCAACCAAAGTGGGAACTGAAAAGTGAATGAACAAGTGGTCTCTGACAACAGAGATGAGACATTTGACTGCTTGTCTTACAGTGGGAAAAGCAGACAGCTACCAGCTTGGTCTCCATATAAGCTCAGGAATTTGGCATTAGTTGTCACAAAAAGGAAGGGTACAGCTAAAACAGAGTGTCCTACTGGAAATCTGTGTAAGAAGCAGTTAGATCTCCAGATTCTCTACTTTTGTCTACCTGGCTGAGCAACTGCCTCTTTATCAACCCCGGTAGAAAACCTAAACTTGTTCTCAACAAGGGTAAAACAAAGGGTCTCTGCTCCAGGCCACAGTTGAAATTTGAATTAAAAGTTTGCGTAGTAAATGAAAAGACCCCCCCAGCTGTGTTGTCTAACTGAACTCCCAGAGTGTCGGCAACCTGCTTATGTCCTGCAGGCAGACAGGAAGAGGTTGTATCCGAGAAATCTAATCAGTACAGCAGAAAAGACCTAAAGATTCTCTAATGGTAGAGCTGAGCCAGAACTCCCTCTTCTCCCCTCAAATAATTATGGCTTGTCCTTAGCCCATCCTTAAATATGTATAGGCAGGTGTCACCAAACTTACAGAAAAGGCAGAGATGAAAACTAACCAAAAAGGGGACAGTGGGGAGGAACCAGAAAACTAATACAGGGACTATACAGGAAAGCTTTCAAACAGGATCCTTAACCTCCTCAGAGAGGTAGGAGAAGGTACTGCATCCATGAAGCCAGGACAGGGTGACAAACAGAACAAGAAAGAGTTCTTGGAAATTACAAGAGCAAGAAATAAAGACTTTACGGAATTCTGAAAAATAAAGTTTAGAAAGTCAAAGAGTAAAGCAAAAAAAGAAAGTATAAAAAAGAGGAGCATCAGCATAGCATTATCTATATCCAAATAAATTCCAGGAAAAGAAAACAGAAAATGGAATCTGCATACATTTTCTTTTGACCTCTTCAGTAGTACTTAGAAACCACATAAAATTTCATCCCTTGGGACCTTCTTTCCAGAAATAGTAATTTTAAAAGCCTCTGCTTGGTATGGATTAAATTTAAATTAATTTAAATTTAAATTTTAAATTTAATTTAAAATTAAAATGGTAATTTTAAAAGACCTAATTCTTCAGGTCTCATCTTAAATGCCATGTTCTCAGACAGATCTTCTCTGACCACCTTACCTAAAGCAAGTTGTCTTTAATATTAGAGTATCTCATGTTCCTTGTGGGCAAGTATTAGAATGAGTGACTATGTATTGTTTGTTTATTTGTTGCAAGGAGGGAGAAGGGCAGTGCCTTTTTTGAATACCCCAGATCTACCATAGCATCTGACAGAATGCACTCAATAAAAATGTACTAGTTTATTAAATGGGCTAAATACGTACTCAAACAGTTCCATACTCCAAAAGCTACATACTTTTGCTCCTGAAAGAAAAACTGCTACTAAGTCTATTTGAGAAACGTTCAGGTTTCCTTTAATAAGAAGGAAAAGTGAGTATATAATTGTATTTTCTCACAAATTGCACTAAAATCACATTCTTTCCTTTGTATTAACACCATGAGGCTTTTGGGGATCTAAATTGAAGTCAACCTGTTATTTGGTCTCTTATGGTACAAAATCTTTTTCTCAGCACTGACCCTTAAAAAATTTATTTCATATGTATAATCATACCATTTAATCAAGGGTGAGCTCTTTGGTTTAAAAAGAAAAAAAAGTGGCCAAAAATAAAATTAGAAAAGGTTCTTTGTGTGCTATCTCAAAGGTGAATGAGCTGTGGGATTTTTGACATTTTTCAAGCCACTGTTGAACTGACATCTTCTCCACACTGTCTAGCACAATGAACCCTTCAGTGTAAGAAATCTACCATTTCTTTGTTAGAATCTCTCTATATTTTTACCCAGATGAAAAGTTCTGTCTCAGTAGGAAGAGCTCACTGTTCAGGGTTTTTATGAAAAATGAAATGCAAGCCATTTTTGGTCTGTCTTAACTGACAGTACACCTGTCTGCTGTGTCAGAGAATGGATAAAATGGGTTCCAAATGCCTAACTTAACCAGGAGGTGGCTTGGGACAGATCAAGCCTGTCATCACTAGTCTCCCTTCCTCCTCCTCCTCCCTTAACCCCAGCCTTTTGATGGATTCCCAAGGGTTACCCGGATTATTTTACTTTGCTTGTTTTTCAGAACAAATACCATAGGCCAAGTTCCAAAGGGTCATTTGAAAGCCCTGAAGGGGAGCTAAAACCAGACCTCCCCGTCTGACTTTGGAATTTCATAAAAAACAAACAAACAATGGATTTGTCAAATTGCTTTTCTTGCTTCAGTAGGGTGAGATGCTAATTTACATCATAAGTATGTGATGTACTTGTAATCTCAAAGCAAATGTACAATTCTGATGTTCAAGCTAAAATTCGTCTTGTCCTATGTTACATAAACATAAATGGGATTCCCTTAAGCCTCACTGGTAAGATTTAGAAAGAAGCTATCATAAACTAAGGTGGAGGATGATGTTCTCAAAATAATTACTTTAGGGAAGGATAGTCACCTTGCTGAGTGAAGCTGGGAAAATGTCCAAAATTAAAACATACATATATTTCATAGTGTTTCTCTAGACAGTTATTTTTCAAGCAAATATGCAGTGCAATACATCTTCAATGATTTTAAGAAAAAAATAGGCTTTAGTGCTAGTACAGCTGGGCCTCTGTCTTTCCTTTCTTAAATCTTTGGGATCCATGTGGTTTGTATCCCTGGCATCTGTAGGCCCCTTCATTCAACCTTCTCATCTCTCCTCTTTCCCTCTTTATATTTATCATCTGGGTCTCCCAGGGATCCATATTCCTTTGACTAGTGAAAAATCATAGTTTTTAATTTAAGATGAGTGTGCATATATATCAAATCTGTATATATGCATGTATATATATATATATATATATATATATATATATATACACACACACACACACATTTCTGTGGAGAAGAAATAGCAATAGGTCTCAGAAATTCCTGTCTGGGGAAAACATCATTAAGTACTATAATTTTATGTGCATTTTATCATTAAAATTTTCCTTTGTTATAGGCAAAATATAGGAGCTGAAACGAAACCATGTATGGGATAATGAAACACCCTTTTAGAGGCTGATAGAAGGAAGGCAATTACATTCGCTGTAGTTTCATCGCAATCTTTTAAGTATTCATTAAAAATAAAATGAAAAAAAAATACATGAACCTCAGAGCAACCATAGGAAAACGTTTTCCAAAAAGCTTATTTGACCCATTTGTTCCTTGAAGTGATCTGTCTTTCATGTGAGCGTGAAAGAGGAGGAGGGAAGGGAGGAGGTTGAGACTAGGGGCATAGGAAACAGATGTATATTGAGACTGAAAATTTGGGCCAGTGGCAGAGAAGCCCTGTGTCAGGCCTAGGCCTTGCTTCCATCCTGCTTCCATCCTTAGCCAGACTTCTGCCCAGTGCTGGTAAACGGGAACCCCAGGCCCTTGGAAAGGCTGCTCTATTAAGGCATGGGGGCATGGTCCTTTAGGATACCCATGTTCTCCTGAAGGAGTTTGCAGTACAACTTGACCTAGAGTATCATGAGCAGAGGAAATTGCTACCCCTGTCTGGATGGGGAAGGGGCAGAACTGAGATCACAGACATGATCCAGTTCATGTGAGCATAACTTTTGGGGTAATTTAAGAGTGGGAAGAGAGAGCTTTGAGGTTATTGGTAGGGTTGAGACAATGTTATGGGTGATGAGTAGAGACCAATATTTTCCACGTAGTGACTAGGAGGGGAAGGGACAGAAGCTCTCAGTAATGTCTGTACAGGCTCAGGACTTGGATTGGTACCCACATGGCAATGATGTCATTAGTTCCTTCCAGTCACTGCTGCAGCCTTGCCCAACTCCTGGCAGCTGACCTGACTTCCATGGGCCAAGTTACCAGATGAAGCCCAGGGACTCTTCT